ACACAACATCACGATTTTGCGGTAGACGCAAAATGCTCCCGGACAAACTCGGGGGCCTCATTTTGCGCGAGCCTGCGCAATCGAAACGCACTTCGACATCACACAACATGATTTTGCGGTAGACGCAAAGCGCTCCCGGACAAACTCGGGGGGCCTCATTTTGCGCAAGCCTGCGCAATCGAAACGCCAACATCACATTTTCGCGATAAGTACCACCAGACCTTTACTCCTACCGTAAGAACCCCTCAGTGGACACATTGTTTGGGGAATGAGCGTGTCTCCATGATTGCGGTTAGGGAGGGTTCCAACGCCGTTTTCTCTGGAAGCAATCGTATAATTTTGAGCACGTGCTGAAGAACTTCCAACATATCTTCCCAGTGACCTGAGAGGCGACTGTCCGAAAAGATGGTCGAAGCACCTGGATCCTGCCTTCGCACACAGTCATCACAGTGTTTGTAGGGCACCACGTCTGCTTACACCCGGCCCTGCCAAAAAAGGATCGTGCGTGTCTCATTTCAGACACTTAATCTTTACAGCGCAGCTCAACTGACCCCTGAACAGGTTCGGAAGAACAAGTCTTCTGTGAGCAAGTGCCTTGCAAAGCCCTGACTTTTTGCTCTCTCGACACGATGCTCTTCGGAATGTACAAGAAGGAATGGCAGGATGTCCCACCAGCCATGTTGACCCCAGTCCTGTGTCCAGCTCTCTGTAAACCCAGCACAGCGCCCGCCTTGCACTACACAGGGATTAGTCGATGATTTTTTCACAGTTGGCGCCCACATATCTTTGGTTGCGAAAGGCAAAAGGAAACCAACTACGTTGGGGCCCCTCGTGTTGAGACATACCCAAATCGCTTCGTGCGTGGCCAGCCAAGCCATGAGCACGTCGGCTTGCAAAGCGCTGCTTCGATGGATGGATCGGTTTTCGACCCTGCCCCGAGCCACGCAGCGCTGGCGCTGGAGTGGTCGAAGCTGCCACGGCGGTCCAAGTCGGCTCTGCGCTCCTGCTAAACATGTAATGCACCGTAGACCACTGGTGATGCACTTGTAGTTCATGACTAGGTGAACGATGTTTTCCGCTTTGCGTTGATCCATGCGAAACGGCATGTACGAACTGTGAGCCCGTGCAGGCGTCTCGGTTGAAAAGATTAGCATGGTAGCGGAGCAACGACTCCTGGTAGTTCCATGGTTTCTTGCTGGTTGGCTTTATAGTGTGCTTTGAGCTTTACACTATTGTGGCCCTGAGCTGGCGAGGGGAATGTCGCAACCGGGTAGCCCTCAACGGGCAACGCCACCGATGGCAGAGCTGGAACAGTTCTTTACACAGGCAAGAGCTGTCACTCAGGCAGCTATGGAGACGGCGCAGGTGAATGCTGCAACAGTGCAAAATCTGATTGCAGCCCAGGTGCAGCAAGCTCAACCGCAGCAGGGTGAGCCGGGATCTCCGTTCCAGGCGAATGTTTTGCAGGCAAAGGATCTGGCCAAAGTGTTAAGGCAGCCCAAGGAGTTTAGACCTGCCACACGAGAAGAAGAACTTTCGCAGTGGAAGTCATGGAGCTGGGAACTTGAGAATTATCTCATGGCCCTTGACCCTGGTTTCAAAGATGATTTTGAGTTGCTCAAACAACAGACGACGTCAGTCGACCTTGCAGATATGGATGCTCCTGTTCGACATCGGAGTATGCTTTTATTTTCAGTGCTTGCAAGTTTATTGCATGAGAAGGGCAAACAGATTCTGAAAGCAGTTGACTCTCAGAATGGATACGAAGGTTACAGGCGTTTGTGTCAGGACCTCATTCCTTCTTCCCGAAGCAGAACTTTGGCGTTGTTGCAGACTTTGAACAGCTGGCCGCAATTTGACATGAGAACTGGACTTATGGCGCAAGTTGTACGTTTGGAAACAGCCATGACTGAGTATGAGGAACTCACTGGGCAACCCATGGATGCAAATTTGAAATTGGCAACATTGCTCAGATGTTTGAGTGGTCAGCTGCGACAGCATACAAACCTGGTGGTTACAGATACGAGTTCTTACAACGATGTTCGCAATTTGGTTATTCGTTGGGACAGCGCGCAGACTCGTTGGCAGGAGCCCCTCTTGAAGAGTTTTGACCTTGGTGACACAAGCACAGATGACCCCATGGGCTCGGTCAACAGACTGCAAGGCAAAGGAAAAGGAAAAAGGAAAAGGAAAAGGAAAGAAGGGCCAGAAAGGTTCTGACAAGGGCGGCAAAGGCAAAGGGAAAGGCTTTAGCAACAAAGGCGGCAAAGGCAAAGGCAAATATGACGCTCGCAACAATCAGCAAAGTTCTGGCTATGACAATCAGAAAGGCGGCAACAAGGTCGCTAGCGACAGCTGCATGTATTGCGGCAAGAAAGGTCATTGGAAGAGAGACTGTTACAAGTGGAAAGCTGAACAGGCGAACCAACATGTCAGACGTGCTGATGAGTTTCATGACTTGCCACAACCGCCGCAGCCCGCGCAGACATCGCAACCCATGATGACCATGCAGCACAACACACAGTCAGCGCCAAGCGTTTCCAGTTCGGGAGCCAATTCATCCATCACGTACAAATCAGCCCCAAGCTCAGCAACTATCAGAAGAGTTTCAGCTGTTCCCACAATTGAGCTTGATCCGGATGACAGAGCTGTTGATTTGACAATCTTTTCACTCACCGAATGCGATAGTGAATTTTCTGGAGATTGCGGAGACGGATATGTGTCCGCGATCACTGCATTTGCCTCAGACACCCGACAGGCTTTTCTTGCAGATTCAGTTGAGGTTTTCAGCATGAGTGCAAGTGACAATGATGATGTGTGGACATTTGCATGTGGGCATTGCAATTTGGATTCTTGCAGTATGTGCAATTCGTTTCAGATCGCTGGTGCAGATTCAGTCCTGGAGGTCAGAATGCTGTCAGGTAGCGACCCGTCTGGAGAAGTCGAGGTGATCTTGGACAGCGGATCTGACGTGAGCATTTTGCCAGAGGCTTGGTCTTCAATTGGTACACGGGGTCAGCTGCCCCCACTGCAGTACAGAGATGCTCAAGGCAACCCTATCAAGATTACAGATTCGCGAGAGGCATATGTAACTCTTGGGGATACAAGCTTCAAAGAGGTTTTCGCAATTGGGCCAGTGACGTGTCCGATCCTCAGTTTCGGGAAACTCGTCAAGGCGGGTTGGAGTCTGACGAAGGCGAGTGGCAGACACATGCTGGCACATGGTGACAAACGCATTTCAGTTGGCTTCAAGAAGAATTCACTGGTAACTTCAGGAACCATCAGAGCAGTCATGGAGACAGGTGATGCTGAGCAGTTGGAGCACTCCATCAGGCGCGTGGTTCTTGGTGATGTGCTAGCTGCAGTAGGTCCAGAATGGGTGCAGATTGCAGATGGTTGTTTTGCGGTCAAGTGCAAGACAGACGCATTTCTTGATGTCAGCATGTGCATGCCGAATGAGAATATCAAAATGCGGACGACTCTTATCATGGGCAAGGATGGAAACTGGGATGTTTTGGAATACGCTCAGCCCATTGCCGAGCTTGCAAATCAGCAGGCACCGTTCTCGGAGCGTGGCGAATCTCTTTCGACAGTTTTGACAATTGCATACAGACAGAATGTGCCCGCGCACAGGCTTGGGTTTATCGTTGACACAGAGGCTGAAACTGGAAGCAGCAAGGATGTGCCCATCGCATCCGATCGTGGTGCAAATGCAGCAGAAGAGAAGAAGGTTAGTTTTGCGCAAGCAGATGAGATTAGAGAGCAGAACAATGAACCTGCGGATGAGCAGCAGCATGCGCCGGCGCCGCTCTCGATAGACAGCGAGTTGGCGCAGAAGGACACTGTGCCCGGACAGCCAGTTGTTGCAGAGTTGAAGATTGATGATATGGTTTTGACAGTTGAGTCAACTGTGAAAGTCCTCAGGGAAGCTTGCAGGGCCTGGGGCCTTGGCATGTCAGGTGGAAAGAAGCTGCTATTTGGGCGGCTCGTTGAGCACGACAAGAAGGTGCGTTTGCATCAGAGCAGGGAGCTTGCCTTGCAGGGCAAACCAGAGGAGAGAGAAGTTGCGGAGGTTCCGAGAGTTGCAGAACCTACGCCGGATCAGATTGCGCAGCATTCGGCAACGCATTTGCCGTACGAGAGCTGGTGCCCAGTTTGTGTCAGTTTTCGTGGAAGAGCTGACAAGCATCCGAAGCGGTCCCATACCATCAGAGGGGTGCCGCATGTGGGCATGGATTTTTCCTTTACGGGCCGTGAGGAGGACTCGCAGGAGAAGCTGTGCGTACTTGTCTTGAAGGACAAGGATTCGAACATGATTGATGCGATTCCGACACCCGGCAAGGGTGGAAAGGCGACCAAGCACTTGGTCACGGAGGTGTGCAGATTTTTGAATGCATTGGGGCATCATGAGGTGGTGCTCAAGGGAGATGGAGAGCCAGCGATTGTGGCCCTTCAGAATCGCATCAGTGAGGTGAGGAGCAAGCTTGGAATGCATACACATCTGCCCCAGCAGTCCCCTCCAGGGGACCATCAGTCAAATGGGATGGCTGAGCAGACGGTTCAGCAGACACGCCAGCAGGCCTCAATGCTGCTGGAACAGTACACGGCAAACACAAAGTGCCAAGTGAAGACAGGTCATCCGCTTCACAGTTGGAGTTTTCGGCATGGTGCGTGGCTCCTTAACAGGTACAACCCACAGAGAGGCATAACGCCTTTCGAGCAGGTCGCTCAGGCGGAGTACCGCGGCAAGATCATTTGTTTCGGGGAGACTTGCCTGGCGCATTGCAAGCCATCCTCAGCAAAGGGTCTTCCTTCCTGGATCAAATCCCTTTGGTTGGGGAAGGTTTCTGGCAGCGATATGCACATCGTGGCCACGGCAGCAGGCAGGCTCATCTTGACGCGTTCAATCAGGAGGCTTCCTGATTCTGCAAGGTGGGATCCGAATATGCATGACAGTGTGACGAGTTTTTCTTGGGAGCAGCCCGGTTTGACAGCTGGACATGTTGCGCATCAGCCCCGGCAAGGGCGATCAGCCATACAGGTAGAGCATTTGATGCCAATGCTTGAAGACGGAGCGCCTCTTTCAGCTTTGTTGGAGGCGGGGCATGTGCCCGAAGTTGGTGGAGGTGGTGATGAAGCAGCGAGTGACCCACCTTCGTCAAGTGAGAATGGCCCGGAGTCGCCCGAAGTCAAGCGCCCGGTGGATTCTGCCCAGGCGGGGCAGGAGATGGACACAGGCAATTCTCAGCCAATGCCTGCAGCTGATGTCAGTGCAGCAGGCAGCGGCTCAGTGCAAGTGAGCAGGCCAGCAGAGTCTGCCGAGTTGGAGGAGCAGCGGCCTTTGAAGCAGCCGCGCGTGGAACCACAGAAGAGGCAGAAGACGGCAGCAGCGGCGGGACCTCTCACCGCGCCGCCGTTGTTTGCAGGTGATGTGATGCGTGTGGTTGGAGGTCAGCAGTTGCATCACATGGACACTCACGCGACAGGTGTCTTCACGAACGAGGATGCCGAGATTTTGGAGCAGACCTGGGAGGACTGGGGAGGCTCCGAATCGGAGGATGATGATTTGTCAGCAGATGCTGATATGCAGACAGAAGTGGAGAGAGCTGGATCATCTGGCGGGGAGAAGCCCGCCGCGCTCATATTTGCAGACATTGATCCGGACGAGCTTTATTTTCCAGGCTCGCATGATGAGCCAGAGTTTGATTTTGATACATTGCAGCAACTTGATGCCAAAGCAGAAAAGGTTGAGCTGAACAGATTGCACAATATGGGAGTTTTGCATGTTTTAGATGATGTTCAGGAAGCAGCGGCAGCTGACACGCATGCCACCCTGACGACTCGCTTTGTGCATACATGGAGGCTGAAGATGTACAAGGGTCGTAGCATGTGGCTACGAAGAGCGCGCCTTGTAGCGAGAGATTACGCACACCTGGACCCATTTCGCGAAGGTTTGTTTTCTCCGGCGTCCAGTGCAATTGTGACAAGGTTGATTCCAGCATTGTATTGCAATTTTCGTGAGTCGAAGCAGTGGATTCTCATGGGTCTTGACATTTCCGATGCCTACCTCACGTGTGACCAGAGGCATCCTACTGTTATTTCAACTTGGACAGGTGGCGATCGGATTGCATGGGAGCTTCGCAAATGCGTCCCGGGCCAAAGGGACGGAGCATTGGTTTGGTATGAAGATTTTTCAGCATATCTTGCGGAGACCATCCACGCCACATGTTGTGTCGAGATCCCCTCACTTTTCCGTTCGGAAAACTTGGGAGGCATTCCTGGAGTCCTGGCATTTCTGCTTCATGTGGACGACATCTTGGTTGGAGGCTCGGAGAAGCATTGCCAATTGATGCTTGATGCTTTGCAGCAGAGGTACAAGTTGAGTGTGAGTTTTCTTCGCAAGGCAGGTGACGAGATGACTTTTCTTAAGCGAAAGCACTTGCTTGTTCGAGATGATTTGTTAATCATGCAGCCTTTGCGCAAGCATTTTCAGAGGTTGATGGATTTGATTTCATGTGACTACATTGGTAGCACACCCCGCAAAGCGCCCGTGCCAACGGGCAAGCTGCCGACTGAGACCCACACTGACCCTCTTGATGAGGACCGGTCTCAGCGGTATCGATCGGCCACTGGCCTATTGCTGTATTTGGCGCCAGACATCGTGCAAGCGCAGTATGGGATCAGGCTTTTAAGCCAGTTCATGTCATCGCCGACTACGGGCAGCTGGAAGCTGCTCACGCACATGGTTTCCTATCTGTGGGGAGCACGTGGGTATTGCATTGGGTTTGAGAAACCTTTTCCAGGCACTGGCCTGGTGGCGCAGGGCAGCAAGCAGTTTTTGCTTGAAATTCTGAGTGATGCAGATTGGGCAGGAGATCCGCAAACAAGGAGATCAGTTTCATCCTGCGTGATCCTGCTCAACAATCAGATTCTGCACTCGAGCTCGAGGGTGCAGAAGGCGGTGAGCCTTTCTTCTGGAGAGAGTGAATTTTATGCGAGTGTTTCTGCAGCAGCTGACGGGCTGTATCTCAAAGCCGGAATTGAGTTCATTCTTGGGAATGGAGACAACTTGGTTGTGAAGCTTATTGGTGATTCAGCAGCTGCGAGAGGAATTCAAACACGCCGTGGTGCTGGGAAGGTGAGACATCTGGAGGCCAAGTACTTGTGGCTTCAAGCCAAGACACAGGATGGCACCCTTCAAGTAGCCAGCGTTGGCACAAAGTGGAATGTGGCGGATCTTGGAACGAAAGCGTTGAGCAAGTGTCGTATCAAGTTTTTGCTGAATCTTTTGAGCGTGCGGGATGAGTGTCAGGATTATGTTTTGGTCGGCGAGGAGGAGATAGAAGAGGAGTACGTGAAGCTGCACCTCAAAGGTGTCATTCGGAGGATTGCTCATGAGGTGCAGGATGCAGATGGAGTTTCATGTACAAGAGCAAATCAGAGTGCAAAGAGGATTTTGCGGATTGGACTTGCGAGTTCAATTGTCAGTGGAGCAGCTGGGACAGACGCCTTGAGCCCGGAGCCCAATGACGTGAGCTATGTTTTGTATGACATTACATTTGTACTGTGCGTGCTTACAGTTGTGATGTTCGTTTTGCTCGGAATGTGGACAGCTTTTCAGTGGGTTTTCAAATCCTGCAGAAGGCAACAAGTACAGAATGTGCGTGCATCCCCTGCAGTACAGACAGCAGATGATGCAACAGCAGATGATGCAACAGCAGATGATGCAACAGCAGAGTTGAATTCAGTGTATGTTTGGGTGACGCCGAACGGTCGTCACTTTCACAAGCGTACTTGCAAGTGGGTGATCAACAGAGATGTGAGCCGAGTTACTGAAGGTCAGGCTTTGGCGGCTCACTACAAGGTGTGTCACACATGCCATGCTCTTGGGAGCCAGCGGAGACGTACTACCACAAGCAGCTCGTCTCTTGATGCTGATGATTTCGGACTTGGGCGAGGTGCTAACTCCGGCACTGCTGCAAGGCCACGACGGCAGGGTGCACAAATGGTTGGCCAGTGAAATGGTGTGTGAGATAAATGGATGCCCGTTTTGCGACCACCTGTTTTCATCAGGCATTGGTCAAAGGGCGAGGAGCAGCTTTAGGTTTCACATGTTTTTGGCAGCTCTGAGAGCGGCCGGGTTCAGATGAATCCTCGACGCTTCGGATTAATCTGAGGCGGGGTGCTAAACATGTAATGCACCGTAGACCACTGGTGATGCACTTGTAGTTCATGACTAGGTGAACGATGTTTTCCGCTTTGCGTTGATCCATGCGAAACGGCATGTACGAACTGTGAGCCCGTGCAGGCGCTTCGGTTGAAAAGATTAGCAGCTCCACAGAGAACGCTGCGAAGGAGGCCTCTGCTGTCCAACATGCTATGCGCAAACCTCAGAAGCACTCCGGCAACAATTCAACAGCACAAGCAGGCCCTGACTGCTTTGCGACATGCTACGCGCAAATGAGGGCACTTTGGGGCGCCGCACAAGCAAGCCCTGAGCGCATCGGATCGAAAAGTGGCGCTTCCCAGGCAAGCCACACACGCTGGCGCTGGAGTGGTCGAAGCTGCCACGGCGGTCCAAGTCGGCTCTGCGCTCCACAGAGAACGCTGCGAAGGAGGCCTCTGCTGTCCAACATGCTATGCGCAAACCTCAGAAGCACTCCGGCAACAATTCAACAGCACAAGCAGGCCCTGACTGCTTTGCGACATGCTACGCGCAAATGAGGGCACTTTGGGGCGCCGCACAAGCAAGCCCTGAGCGCATCGGATCGAAAAGTGGCGCTTCCCAGGCAAGCCACACAGCGCTGGCGCTGGAGTGCCACGACGGTCCAAGTCGGCTCTGCGCTCCACAGAGAACGCTGCGAAGGAGGCCTCTGCTTTCCGACATGCTATGCGCAAACCTCAGAAGGATTCCAGCAACAAGAGCGGTCAAAGCTGCTGCAACAAGCCATGTCGGCTCTGAACGATTCGACGGAGGCCTCTGCTTTGAAAAGTGCTCTCCGCAAGCCTCGGAAGGCGCTTTGGGACTCTGGCGACAACTCAACAGGCTCCCAAGGCGCTGCAAGTAGAGGCTCCCAGGCCTTGTCGCAAGGAAAGAAGGAAGGCTGTAAAACAGGATTCAACGCGGCATCATCTGAACCATCCAGCGCATGCCACGTGTCCAAAACCATCTGGCTGCGGCTGCAAGGAGATTGTCCAAGCAAGCTGACGCGCCGCAGTTTGGTCCATCGGGCAGCTGGCCCAGAAACAAGCCATGTTCCAACAGACATTGTAGGCCACAACTTCCATTGCCACTGCCATTGCCACTGCCATTGCCACTGCCATTGCCCAAACAAAAGGATGGAAGGTGACTGTGATGAAATCGAGGCAGTGCTGACATGTGACGGGCCAGAGAGAAGAAAGCCTGAGCCGAGCCATGACGCAGACAGTCCGCAGATGGCAAGCCCAGAACAGCTGGTAAAGAAGGCCGGCAAGTAATGGGTGTCTTTGCGACATGTTTTGAGTAAATTTTGGAAGGCAACTTCACTGGACGTGGGCGCCCGGACCTTGTTGCATGTGGCAGCATGCAACGTGGCGTCTGAACCAAGTGGTGTCCTGAACGGCCTTAAATGGAGAGGTGAAGGAATATGCTTACTAGGTCTAACCCCCTCACCAAGGTGATAGCGAGGAAAGGGAAATGATGGGTGACAAGATCTGACCCGCCATCACGTTCCCCCACACGCTCCCGCTGTCGGAAAGGGATACCGGAGCGAGTGAAGGCCATCTGCCCAACCTTGCGGACTTCCGGCAGTTTGAAAGGCATTGTGCCACACGCAACGGGCACCTGTCTGACTCTGAACCCAGTTCGCACCAGGTGTCGCCCTCATGCAAAGATTGCCAAGGCCTTGCGCGAAGCCGACCGCCGCTTGCAAAGCTTCGCAAATTTCAATGAAAAGAGTACTGATCTCATGAGCTTGCTTCCTAAGGAGTTAAAACAAAGACGCACCCACATGATGTCATCAGTTTGGCAGGCACTGCGGATGCACGAAATCCACACACACCAGTTGGGATGGATGAAGCCTGGACGGAACCCCTTGAATGCTGGACAAGCGCGGAAATCCACCTACCAACTGGTTGGCGATGTATCTGGAAAAGAGACATGCTTACAGGCGAAAGATACAACGCTGAATACTTTCCAGAACCTGACCATGATACTGAGGATTATGACGATGATGATGATGATGATGATGATGACGACGATGACGATGATGATGATGATGAATCATCACTGCGTCACTTGCGCGATACAATTGTGCTTTACTTGCGCAGCCCCGTGTTTGACTTGCGCGGCCGCTCCTGCAACACACTCCTGCCTTTGATATTACAAGCCGCGGCGCAGCTGATTTGATAGGTCCAAAACAACTGGGAATGACACATACAACGGGTTTTTGTTCCGGCTCAGATGTTACCCGGCGCACCAACTACGATGCAAGATTGGATTTCATACCTAGAGGCTCCAGCGATGCGCAAAGGACACCGTTTGGCGCAAACTGCATGGGCCGCGGTGCGGTCGAAGACGTTGACGTTGCTTGACGTTGCCGGAGCTGAATTGTTCTTGATGAGCTCGTGCCTGTACTTGCAAGCGCTCCCCCTGTCGCACTTCCCCTTCTGGAATGCGAAGCATGCTCCATCATCCCTCTTCGGCGACGACGATCTGGATTTGGACTTACCCTTTCCTTTCCCCTTGGGCATGTTCTCCAGCTTGTGCTCTGTCTTCTTGCTGTGGGAAAATGTGCATTCATTTCCTTTCACGCATCCCTTCGCCGATTTGAAGTGATACCAACAGGGGTTATCTTTGCCTCCGCCCGGACTCTTGCCTCTGTCGCTGGCACCGTCGGATTTGCCGTTCTTGCCAGCGTGGCCCTTTGCCTTGGCTTTTGGGAGTACAGGAGCAGCATCAGGTCCGCCGGGTTTCCCCTTTCTGCCCTTGCCACCCTGGTTCTCCTGTTTGCCAGTGGCTGGAGCCGCATCTCTGCCGCCTGATTTCATCATCGACTTGACTGATCTCTCCTTCATGTCAAGCATCAGGTCCTCCCGATCCGCCTTGATCTGATGGTCGATCAACGCCAACAAGAATTCATACGTCTTCTGAGGATGTTTGTCCGGTAGTCTATGGTAGGCATTGAGGCCGAATTCCATCTTCTTGCTCCCCTTGATTTTCCTGTAAAGGATATCTCTGAGAGCCAATTTACTGGGTCTGTCCTCGCTCCTCATCTTCAGCAGCAAATCATACCATTTGTTCCTGAACATAACCAAGTTCTTGTCTCCAGGAAAGTCGAGGTTGAATAGGTGCTCGATGTGGTAGACAAGGTCTGTTCTATCAGATGTTCTGAATGATTGCAAAACCAATGCTACCAACTCTCGTCCCTTCACGATCACCCCTTGTTGATGTCGTAGTTCCAAGTGTCGCGTAGCGTCGAGGTACACGTCTTTGGCTTCGTCAGGTGCTTGTTTCAACATGTTCTGCATGCCCATGGCCATCTTAATATCTATCGTAGCAAATCTGTCGCCACCTGAATCGCTAAGCATATTCAGGTCTGGGTTCAACCCAAGAGCCTGTTCCAACCATTTCGTCCATGTGTCGGTATCTGGATCTGCGCATGCGCTCAGAACATTCATCAGCAGTTGCATCTTCCAGTTATCAAGTTGGTGGATCTTTGGCCAAGCAGGAATAGATACCCTCTCGGCCTCTTTCCTCGAGATCCTCGGTCTATCGTTCTTGACCTCTCGATCATCTCTCGATCTTCTTCGTCTCCTCCGTGTCCGATTGTCATCTTCTTCCTCTTCTTCTTCCTCGTCTTCTTCATCCTCTTCGCCGTCGTCGTCCTCGTCTTCATCATCGGGTGGGTCATCCGGAGGTCCTCCTCCGCCACCTGTGAGGCTCAACTGACGTCGACTTGCTCCCTGCCTATTTCCACTAGGCGAGAATCCACCGTAATCCAATGGGGGCGTAGTACCGTTGTTTCCCCCTCCATCACCGCCACCAGTCGCAGTAGTGGATTGTGGGACATGTCCGACAACCCCTTGCATCTGGGATAGGTGTACATCGATCATTGGATCACCAAAAGACGGAAAGAGAATCGAACCTGGCATTAGCGACGAATTAGGGGTCAGATTTGAAGACGATGACGGGACTAACCCAGCCATCTTCTTGTCTACCCTAGTTGAATTAGCTTGGGGTCCCCCCTCAGCGCGCTTCACTACTGCTCGTTCACGATGTCCATCCTTACTGCTGGAGGCCTCCTGCGTCTCCAGCTTCTTGTGTGCACGTAGTTCCTCATTGTCAGCATCGAGCTGGCGAACAAAACTCTCTTCTTGCTTGAGCGTCGCCTCCCTTTCCTTCAGTTGTCCCTGAAGCTCATGCATCTCCTCGAGGTATTCATCGTACACTCCCTTAGCTGTCAATCTCCAGTACTCAGCCTCCTTCGGCTTCTCGTCCATCGTGCACCGTTCTTCTTGTTTTGCCTCTTTGACCTGGGCTAACTCCAATATCGCATCTTGACGATGACCACCCTCGATCGCAATCATTTGGTCCTTCATCGACACGTCGGATTCATACTGTTTGACGATCTCTTCCTTCTCGCGAAGCAAGCATTCTGCTCTCTTTGACTCTTGTTCCGCAAATACTGTAACGTCATTCAGTCTCGTCATCAGCTGTTCCCTGGAGTCTTCCATAGAGTACGTCTCGGGGCGCTTGACGAGT